AAATCCCATTTCTAGGTATATATCCAAAAGAATTAAAGCAGGATCTTGGAGAGATACTTACAAACCCATGTTCATAACAGCACTATTTGCAATAGCCAAAAGGTGGAAATAACCTAATGTCTATCCACAGGTGAATGGATAAACAAAATGTGCTATATACACAGAATGGAAGCCTTAAAAAAGAAAGAAATCTTGTCACAGGTTTCAATGCTATAGGCTGAATGTGTGTATGCTGAAATACTGATGCCCAAATACCTTGGGAGGTGATTAGGTCATGAGGGCTTAGGGACTGATGCCCTCATAAAAGAGGTCCGAGACCTTCCTTGCCCCTTCTACCATGTGAGGACACTGAAGGAACTGTGCAAAATAAATATCTGTTGTTTTTAAGCCACCCACATTGTAGTATTGTGTTATAGCAGTCTTAATGGACTAAGACATACAACACGGCTGAACACTGAGGACATTCTAAGTGAAACAAACCAGTTACAAAAGGATAAATACTGGGTGAGTTTATGCCTATGAAGTATCTAAAAGTAGTCAAATTCATAGATATAGAAAACAGAATAATGGTTACCAGGGACTGGGGGCATAGGAAACAAATGGGAGTGTTTACAGAGTATAAAGTTTCAATTTCACCAAATGAAAAAGTTCTGGAGATCTGTTTTACAACAATGTGAATATACTTACCACATCTGAACTGTACACCTAAAGGTGGTTAAGATAGTAAATTTAAAACAATGAAAAAAAGTAAAAAAAAAAGATAGTACATTTTATGATGCATATCTTTACCACAATAAAAACATTTTGGTAAAAAAATAAAACAAGAAAAATATATGAAGAAATCCAAATCCTTTTCTTTTTCCTTTTTTTTGCTGAGTAGGGAGGAAATAAAAATAAATGTAAGGGGAGTAAATATTTCACTTTTGTATAGACGTAAGCATTTTCATTTCTAGTGCATTCCATACTTGCCAGTTGCACAGCAAAGTTTATATCTTGAACATGAGCTTTCATGAGAACATGAGCTTTCAAAACCCCAAATCAGGCACTAAAGCCCATCAGAAAATCCTAGGAGCTGGGATGTTTACTGTTAGGACCCCATTTCCTGAGAAGACTCTAGATCATGGGAGGACACTCCAGGGAAACGTCAAGAACAACCAGTCTGTGCCAATTTGGGTTCTTTACTAAGAACAACAGAAATGGACACTAGCAACTTAAAAGGGAAGGGATTTATGGAGATACTGTGGGGAGCTCACATAAGCTACATTTAAAGCTGGAAGATTCAGAAAAAAGGAGGAATTTCCACAGCTGGGTAGCCAAGAACATGCCCAGGCCACACCTGAGGATCAGCCTCATTAAGATATCAGCCTTGGCCATGTCTGGTCCCATCACCTCTGAACACTCAGTGCCAACCTTCAACTAATCGTGTGTTTCTGCATCATCCCCTCAATGTTCAAATTCTGGGGTGGGAAGAACTGATGAGGCATGCCAGGGAGTTTCCATTAAATAGGGACTTCCTCCCAACAGGCAGAATAACCAAGTGCTAAAGGAGAGACGGCAATTGTCCACATTGGTTACCAAGTAACTTAGCAGCTGTATACGTCTCAAGTGCCTAGCTCACCCCTTTGAGATAAAGCAGGAAGTTTCTAGTAATTTCCAGAAAGCAGGAGAATCTTTATCCTTACTGGGTCCTATCACTTGCAATGTGGCAGTTTCCCACAGGTTATCGAATCAGGGAACAACACTCCTAAACTATCACTGGGTAAAGCAAGGTGCACAGGAACAGCCAGGATATATGAGGCCATGCTTATTAGTTACCCTCTAATGCTTTTGCTTTTGTCGAAGTCAACTTTACTTGACCTTTACGAGAGCAGACGCTGCCTTCGAAACTCCTGCCAGACAGACTGTAAGACAAAGTGCACATACCAGCGCGGCTGTGACCATCGCCAAGGGACTAGCACTGCTCAAGCAGGGGAGCTGTCGTGTGTCTGGCACAGTTTAATCAACTCGGAAGCCTCTAGCCAGATTCTAGTCTATCAGAAAAAATTTCCGTAGGCTCCCAAGGGCAAAGATACACAGAGATTTAGATAGCCATAAACAAGTGAAAAAAAAAAAAAGATTTATTTTACAACGTTACAGTTTTATTTGTTAAATACATCCCTCTATTCAAAGGGCTCGGAAGAGTTCTGCTTTTATGATGACAGGGCAAAAATCTCTCTACCTCCTTTCTCTTGAAAAGTCAACAGAACAATAAAGATTAAAAAATCAGGAATCTCCATTTTAAAAAAAAGATAAAACTAAGACACATCTACAGCCCTGAATCATAACATGGGCAGGAAGTGGGTAGGGAATTGGTGAGGATTGTTGGAGTGGAGGATGGTCAAACCTTAGTGTCTGCAGAGGCAGCATCAATAAAGCACAAGCTTCATGGCCGCCAGGAAACATCAAGAATTGGAGGCATCTGCTGTTGTGAAGCGGGGGTGAGTGGGCAATCAGAAAACAAGGAGGTTGTTTGAAAATCTATATAAGCAACAGCTAGAAACCCAGGGTGCCTCACTCTCCCCAAAGGAGCTAGAAGCTACACTGTTACTAGACATGGTTTCTGAGAAGCAACAAACTTATAAACACCAGCACTGAAGAGAGTGGGGGTGAAAACAGGGATATGAAATGAAAACATGTATAACAGAGTGAGACCCTTCAGTTCTCTCACCCTACCTTGCCAGAACTCCAGCATCTAGGCTAATATTCCCAAAGCAAGATAGACTAAAAAGATCATTCTCTGAAAAAATTAAACTATCATCTGAGAAAAGACTTACAGTTACTACTATAACTATATGCAATGAGAATGTTGACAGGCTACCCAGTCATCCTACAGAAAAGTCCAGCGGGAAGCACAGCTGTTTATTAGTTTTCTTGTGCCTCATCTATTAAACAAAAGACAAGGATCACCAGACCTCAGAGGAAAGCCCAAGACACTCCAGAGAGAAGACCAAAATAAACTGGAAAAAAAAAAAAAAAAAAAAAAAGGGAAGCTGGGGAAACAATATTGGCAGGAGAAGAGAACTTCAAAAAAATCATATTAATATGTCCATTGAACTAAAATCTTGCATTCATCTCATAAAAGCACATTATTAAAAAGATTAGAAAGTAAGAAGGGGTAAAATATGACAGAAAAAATGTCAATGAAAGGATTCAGAGGTTAAGTTAAAGAAACATCCCAGGAAGTAGAACAAAAAGTTAGAGAAGTAGACAATCCAAAAACAAAACAAAACAAACAAAAAGACTATTAGAAAATCAATGTAAGAAATCCAATATCTAAATTAATAGGAACTCCAGAGAAAAGGTACAAGGAAAAAACATTCTCAAAGAAAATAATATAAGAACATATTTAATAACTCAATTATATAATTCTTAGATTATAAAGACCTACTGAGCATTCACCTTAATGTATAAAAAAAGCTTATAGTAATGCACCAAAAAAAGTCTGGAAATCACATATGTGTAAGAAATCTTAAAAACTTGCATAGAAGAAACTGACAAAAACAACGGATCAAGGTAAATGGCATTAGCCTTCACAATTGCAGAACTGGAAGCCGAAGGATATTGAAGCAAAACCATCAAAATTCTTCTCAAGAATTCTATACCCAGCTAAACTACCACTCAACTATAAGACCAGAATAATGAATGGCATTTTCATACCTGTACAGTCTGAGAAACAGAAAACAGTAAGGTTTTTGTTTAAGCCTTCTAGCACTATTTGACCAATTACTTTACTTTAATCTGATACTGTACAGTTTCCACATTTTCAACTATTATCTCAGTTTGGTCTGCAGGCACAAGAGTACATTTTCTAGAGTCAGTAATCACGAATAAAATATACCACATTCTTACCCTAACAATATATGAGATCATGATATTAAAAAATCTGACAGCATAATAACCTTTACTCTTACATAATAATGTACTTTGAAAGTCCTTTAGAAACAGTCATAAATATCCAGTGAAGATAGATATTATCATCCCTTGCTTGAAGATGAGAAAATTAAGACTTATAGAGATGATTTTCCAAAAGTGCCACAGCCAGCATGAAGTAATACTAGAACTCAAATCTATATCTAGTGCTATGTTCAGTATTCTCCTCTTGACGTGTATGTAAATACTCTGTCCACAATCCTTATGACTTTGTGTTTTGATATCTCGTTCTCCCTTATGCACACAGGAAACAGTTTCCTTTCAAATCACCAAACACACTCTGTTATCCCTCTTCTCTACCCTAATGACAACCCAGCTATTCATTTCGCCTCAAGCTCCTGAGCACTGTACCCTAGCCCACTGCCCTTCTCCAGGCCATCCTTAAAGAACTGTAGTGCATGTAGAATAGGTCCCAAAATAAACACTGACTTATAGTCAGAGTTCTGGCAGAAGGCAAATTCTAACTACTCATGAGAAAGAAACTACTTGATTTTTTTCTTAACCTAAGGGTGAGAAGGAAAATAATTAGACAAAAGGGACTTCATCTTCTCATATATTACAGGAAGGCACCTAATGTATTTTAGATGTTCATAATGATCTATCTGGCTCATTATAATAAAAAATAAAATATTGTTTATAACCAGCTATTAGTTTTTTATACTGTAAAGGGATAAAGGTTCAAAAATAATGACTCCTTCCAGTCTGCCCCCCAAATGTATTAATCAAAAAATATGCTTTAAAATTTAGAGCACAATAAAAACATATACACAGCTTCCCCTCCCACCCCATTTTCCAAAGCAAAGAGGGAGACAGGAAAACTCCCAGACACACATGCACTCAGACTCACACACTCTGTAATTTTGGACTCATATCCCTTCCTCCTCATCTTCACCCTCTGTTAGACTTGTGGACTTGAACAGCCACTAGATGAAGAGGTTACAGTCTTCACTGAAAAAAACTCACGGTGCTGTAGGTAACCCTTTGATGTAAGTAATACAAAGAAATAGTGTAGTAACAGTTTAGCAACTTACTCCACAGTATCGGTCACCATTAAATATCTGAGGTGGCAGAGGGTTGCCCTGAGCAGGCTTCTTTTCTGGGGGAATGTTTTTGTACATCCATTGCCTCTGCTCTTCTGACATTGTGATATCCACCTCCTCAAACTCTATCTTGTTGGCTTCCAGAAATCTAACCACATCTTGCTGCTTCTTCTTTATCTAAAGAGAGAAAACAAACAAATAAGGAGAAATGCTCATCTGAAACAGCATGTAGCTATTTCCAAACTAAACTTGATTTAATTTCTCATTGTCAGAGGTCACTGATACAGAAAAGAGGTGATTTACGTAGGTGCTATGCACTGTCCACTCCTGGATATCCAGTGGAGGTCTAAGCAAGTCCTGACACCACGATTTCTTCACCTGGACTCCCCAGAACCCTGGGGCACAACAGGGATTCCCTGGAAGAACTGACTAGGTATGAGGTGAGAGATTCACGTAGTTCTGAGAGGGCCATAACCATTCCTCCCTCCCACCCAAAGAGTTGACATTTACAGTCATGAAAGCTCTCTCTGCTCAAAACCATTTGAAAACTATGTATAGCCCATCTGAGATGTCAACATTTCATTGATTCCCATGAGCAGCAATGTTTTTATTCCCCTTAGAAGCCTCCTTCAGATATTCCACAGCTGTAGCCACTGGCACAAAAGCATCCTTTCATCAACTCAAAAGAGAAAAATGTTCTCCACTTCTAAGGTGAGAGTAAACAACAAGCACCATTTTATTTTGAACTCTATTTCTTAACCCTTTTCATTCCTCTGATCTTTCATGTTTCCTTCCTCAGTCACTAGGGGTCAGGTATGCTCTTCAAGAGCGGAAAACACATTTGTAGTTCTCAAAATGTTACCAATCTTCCTAATTTAAGGGTCTATATTAATAACTAATTTAGATGGGGGTGACAATATTCACTGTCTTAAACACAGTGTGTAAAACATGAGAAAACAAGCTTGTTTTTCCTAGATGATTCTGGAAAATCTGCACAAAAAACAAACAGGTGGTGAAGTAAATCTTATAATGGCTAAAGAATCATTATAAGAGGTCAAGCAGCAAGAAGGACCTCTTGTCACAGGAAATAAAATGTTTGAAAACAAACTGTCACTTATCAGCTGCCTCCACCAACCCCTCCCCCAGAGGTGGAAATCTGTCAAGTGCCCTGAGCAAAGAGATCTCGATCACTGGTTTGAAGTCTATGAATGACTAACGAGCAAAGCTGGAAGGAAATAAAAAGCTGACAAAATAGGACATCTTGAAGCTCAATGATATTATTAAATGAGAGAATTACTATATGATTATACATCCAAATTGATATTGGCATTATCTTAATTTCTTGAATTAAGCCACTTTTCATTTCTAAAAATGTTAACTTTTCCCCCTATTTATATACAATTTCAGAAATGTAGTTATATTATTTTGAAACTTCAGCTTGCAAAAAAAGTATCATCCATCCTTTATGCTTCTACAAAGTAGATTTCATTATGCCCGAGGTCAAAAGTAATCACCTATTTTGATCAAGATTCCAGTGTTCTTGTCAAGATAATCATGTCATTCCCCTATTTAAAATCCTTCTTTAGTAACCCCCACGGCCTTTGGAAGAACACATGAGGTCTGTCCAGAAAAAGTCCAGCCACTGTTAATATAACAAGAATGGTTTGCGCAGCATTGATGTAACCTAGCAGTCAAGGAGAGTGGACTGGAATGTTCATGAGTGAATGACTACTTACCTGTACTAGTCAGTGGGGTCAGTAGACACCGTTAAGCGAGCATGTATACTGTGTGGCTGTCACATTAAAAATGACCGGGCGAGTACAGCAATGAATCTGCATCAAATTTTGTGTTAAGCATGAACACTCCCTCTGCGGAAACTATTTGGATGATTCAGAAGGCTTTTGGGGATGATGCAATGAGTGCAGTGCAAATAAAAGGGTGACACAAATGCTTCAAAGACAGTCGAGAATCTGTTGAAAGGGATTCATGTTCTGGAAAGCCTGCAACAAGCAGAAAACCTGAGAATGTTGAACACGTATGGATGGGTTGCAACCAACAAAGATCGGTTGCATAAGATCAGCCTGACAGTGCTGATTTGGGGATTCCAAAAACTACTGCATCCAAGATTTTGATGCAAGATCTTGGCATGAAACCTGTCATGGCAAAATTCATTCTGCAGCCTCTACTACCAGAGCAGAAGGAACACTGTGCTGCAGTTGCTGATGACTTGATTCAAACCACTACCAATGAACCAGATTTCCTCAAGAAGGTCATAACCAGAGATGAATTGTGGATCTATGGCTACAATCTGGAAACAAAGGCCCAGTTGTCCCAATGGAAGTCACCTGGTTGTCTACTCCCAAAGAAGGTGCGGCAAAGTCACAGCAAGATCAAGACCATGTTAACTGTGTTTTCTGATTGGGAAGGTGGTGTCCATTCTGAGTATGCTCCTCCAGGCCAAACAATGGATAAGGAGTACTCCCTTAATGTTTTTCATCACTTGAGAGATACAATACGATGAAAAGGGCCACAGCTATGGGCAACTGCTAATTGGCATCTTCATCACAGCAATGCACCCTTTCATGCATCATGTCTAGTGCAGTTTTTTGGTGAAACATCAAATCACCCAGGTGACTCAGCCCCTCTACAGCCCAGATTTGGCACACTGTGACTTCTGACTTTTCCCAAAACTAAAAACACCTTTGAAAGGAAAGAGATTTCAGACTGTCATTCAGATTCAGGAAAATATGATGGAGCAGCTGATGGCGATTCTAACAAAGGATTTTGCACAGTGTTTTGAACAGTGGAAGAGATGCTTAGAGAACTACGTGAGGTCCCAAGGTGCCTACTTTGAAGGGGACTAAGGTCTCATTGTCTTATGTACAATGTTTCTTGTGTCTTGTATCTTTTTCAATAAATCTCTCTTTTTCATACTACATGGATGGATGTTTTCTGGACAGACCTCATAAAGCTTTCTGAGCATTTAGCACAATGTCCTTCATGATCCAGCTCTTTTGACTACAAAAGCAATGTATTTACAAATTTAAAAGTGTAGAAATAGTAAAAGTGTAGAAAAAGTTACCTACAATCCTACTACTCCGACAGCCACTGTTAAAATTTAATTAGAGGAAAGAGCCTGGATTTAATGTTCATGTGGAAATCTACATATCCGCACATTTCAAATGTTCATGAGAGTGATACAAAAATGAAGCTGCTACATAGTCAAACCTTGGTTTTCCATATGATATATATGTATACACATAATATTTACCTCTACCTCTAAATGTGAGTACCTGAAAACATACATTCTCAATTAAAAAAAAAATCATACATTCTCAATACTAGGATACATAAAAAACACTCATACACTGTTTTTACATTCCTACCTCCCTGTCCTATACACATAGATCTCTCTCTCTCTCTCTCCCCCTCTCACACACACACACATACAGCATTTATTGTTGGACTATAATCCCCTACAGCTCAAGTGGTCTTTTCTTTCACAGGATCACACTGGGGAAAAAAAAATAGCTGCACCTTGTTCCTTTCACTGAAAATAAATCATGAATACTGTCTACTGTCATTAAAAGTTTTCAAGAGAATACCTTTTCATATCTCCCTGGCAATTCCATCATGTAGATATACCATTAACTATCCCTCTATTGATGGATATTTAGTATACTTGTAACTTCCACCACTAGAAATAATATCATTTAATGAACACTTTCATTTATAAATCTCGTACTGTCTCTCACAATGCTACTTTAGGGCAAAGCCCTATGAATGAAACCTACATGAAAGGGCAGAGACATTTTTCAGACTCCTGATGGACAAACTGCTTTTCAACAAGGCCACATTGGTCAAAAAGTTCAAACCTCCAGTTATAAAGTAAGTTAAGCCCTTGGAATGTAATGTACAGCATGGTGACTACAGTTACATGCTTTGTGTATCTGACAGCTGCTAAAAGAGTAGATCTTAAAAGTTCTCATCAAAAAAGAAATTGGTAGCATGTTGGTGATGGAGGTTAACTAGACTTACTGTGGTGATCGTTTTGCAATATACATATGTATTGAATCATCATGCAGTACACCTGAAACTAATATGTTGTATTTCAATTATACCATAGTAAAAAATACAAGGCCACATCAATTTACATTCCCATTAGCAATATTTAAAAGTATCCGTGTCTCAACAACTCTCCCTCCTTACAGCCAGTATTTGAAAGTTGTATTGTAGAAGATTAAAGCTCAAACGATGGATGTTAACTAAACTTACTCTAGTTCACTGCATCACAACATGTACATACATGAAATCATTACACTGTACACCTTAAATTTACACAATGCTATGCCAATTATATCTCAGTAAAACTAAAGAAAAAAGAGAAATAATAGTTCTAAAAATTCAAATGCATAATTACACACTGACAATGCTCAGGAAGCAAAAGACAATTCCTCACTAACAATGGTGATGACTGACAGTTGTGTCAGCAGTGAAATGTAAGTGATTATATATCCACTTTTGAAGGGGAAAGCAAGGGGAGGCATGAGCAGGTCTGTGTTTCAAAGAGGTCACTATAATACTATGCAACTCAAAAAAATAAATAAAAAAGGAGAAACTGTTTGTACTGTTAACACAGCTATGAAAAGGTCTCCAAGATAAATATGTAAGTGAAAAAGAACTAAGAGCAGAGTTGTGAGTAGACTAGGCATATTTTTTAGAAAAGAAAAGAAGAGAAAAATAAAAACACACTTGTATTTCCTTGTATTTACATTTTATAAAAAACGTTGAGGGTTACAGGGGTCGGGGGAATGGGAACTGGGTAACGGGGACAAAGTGGGAGCGAGGGTTTTCATTCTCTACATATATAAACTTTAATCTTTTTTGAACAGCGTGAATGTGTCAATAGTCAAAAGATGAAATAGAAGATATTTATTTTGAGAGAGAAAGAGCTTCACTTAGAGCGTCACAGCCTCGGGGGGAGCCATGGTACACGGCCAAGAGAGATGCAGTATTTTACACAAATCAAGTTTCCCAACACATGAAGCAAGACTTGGAGCATTTAAAATAAAATTTTTAAAAAGGGCTAAGGTTACAGAAAATTAACCAATACTATGATAAATCATCCAAATAAACAAAAAGGAGAAATTTAACCCAGAGAAGGAGGTTTTCAAGTA